TACCCACTAGGCGCCATGGGGGACCCGGGGTAGGCCACCCGCAGTACACGCATGCATGGAGGCGTACCCACTAGGCGCCATGGGTGCTTGCATTGGCTGCGCTTGGCAATGTCATAGGCCGAAGACGGGCGTATCTCTCTGGATGACCCCTTGTGTTCAAAAGTCTCTGGGATGTCTCCACAATGTGTCTGTTAGGATATCTCCCGCCTAGGTATGTCTGTTCTAGTACGGGAGGGGTTCACGCGGCCCTACATTACCTCACGCAGTTGTCGCGGACCTGTCCGTGCCGAAAGCGCCAGCACCAACCTACGAACGGCCGCAGGAAGTCACATTCAACATCATTTCGTCTCGGCTCCTACTGGCGCGCCCAGTGCAGCACTTCGCGACTTTCACCCTGCGCCGGGCTCGGTGGACCGGCGGGCACCCAGGGCAGCAGGGAGCGAGAGAGAGAGAGAGAGAGAGAGAGAGGGGGGCGTCTGGGATCCTGGCGAATAACCTGGTGGCAAATTTGAATTAAACATGCGACCCGGGGCTCTGCTTTTGTCTCCGAGTCGCAGAGTCGCTGCATGAAGACGTAAGCGGGCGGTTTAAAAAGTGGAGGGGCCGCCAAAGTGTATTTTTAACAACGCGCTTTGCTCGGGCGCGCGCGGGTGCGCCTGCCGTGGCGCCCCGGCTAGACTGCTACTTAGGGCCGGGCTTGTCCGTCCAGGCCGCGAGGCTCGTGGCCCCGCGCCGTCCCCGCGTCCTCCCCCCACAGCAGGCGCACACCCGCCGCCGAGCCCGCCGCACCCCACCGGGGGCCGTGGCGTGGCCCTGGGCGCGGGGCGGGCCTAAAGGCGGGCCGCATGGTGGCGGCGGCGGCAGCGGAGGCGGTGGTGGCCCCTCGGAGGGAATAAAAAGCTGTCCGCCTCTCTGCCTCCCAGGGCTTGGAGAGAGAGAGAGGGGGCTGCGGCTGTTGTACTACAGGGGGCCGCGCGCACCACGACAAGGTGTCGCGCAGCAGGGGGCGGATCCAGCTAGGTGACCCTACTGCATTGCATTACAGCCTGTGTAGAGACATGGCAGTCTAAAATGTACCATGGGTGATGTGACTGCTATGTGGCATCTATTGATAATATCTAAGTGTTTCCTCTATTCCACTCGAGGGGGGGTTTTACTCCAAAAAAGGGGGTACAGAGTACTCCGTATTACACTAACTACGCGGTATTACGCCAATATTACATGGAAAAAACTACAATTTTAAAGCATATTTTGACATTTTTCGGTGTTACCGTGTGATACCTTGGTCAGGTGTGCAGGGTATTACGCAAGGTGAAACCCCCTCGATTCCACTATAATCAACACAAATGAGGCCGGTGACTAGACTGCTATACTATGTGGTTTGGCTGCACAATGCGTGTCAAAGAGCAGCCAAACCGAGCCAAACGAAGGTGGTCCAAATTGCCGCACATGGCCCAAGCCATAGTCCGTTTGACGGTAATCCAAAAGTAAAGTGCCGTTTGACTTGCAGCGAGACTTGCAGTCATTTTTGTTGGACTGCCCCACTTGTCGCCCTCTTATGCGACTGCAATGTCGACACACCACGCTCGCTGCGGTCTGTCATTGATTGAAGCGTGTAGCGGAAAAGCGACTGGGAAATTGCGATGAGACGACAGATGCGGTCTGTTCGTGATCGGCCAGCACAAAAGTACGGTGCGTTTCTCTCCGACTCGTTCGGCTAAACGACGACGGGAGCGGCTCGGCGCCTGCGAGACTCGTGATAGGCCACCCGGCAGTACACGCATGCACTGCAGGCGAGATGGTGCCTACCTACCAGGCGCGATGGGAGACCCTGCGCGGAAGCGAGCGCGAGAGTGTACGGAGACTTTCAGTCATCGGAGGATGTGTACGTACGAATGAGCGACCGTTTTCTGTGAATCCCGCTCCCGAATCCCTGCGCGTTGGCTCTTCATTTTTCGACGCAGGAGGGGGTTTGTTTACAGCACGGCGACGACTGATGCGGTTGGTTGTGAAGGATTGTGTGGCGAGGGTAGGG